TCATCCAGGCTGTGCCTTTGGGAGGGATGTCCAGCAACCCACCCACACTTCTCCTGTGACATCTGTGCATGCAGGGGAGTCCCAGGTAATGCTGGGGTACCTGCCTGCACGGGGAGGGGAGGCAGAATTAGGAGCTACCAATGGAAAGAAGGCATTGGAGGAGCACCAGGACCCATGGGACCAGTTCATCCAGGGATTCAGGCTTCAAACCCTGCTCCCTTCATTACCCCATCTTACAAAACTCCTGGCAAAGGCTGGAAACCAACTCCCACCATAACAGCTCCTGACAAAACCAGGTGGGCTCAGCCCTGCAAAGCTTGGGAGAAGGGCAGGGGAAAAAAAAGGGGAAGGGGGAGGAGGGGAAATATTAAAAATCAGATCTGTTGGTGTCAAAGCTGGGAACACGTTTCCAGGAAAGCAAAACCCAGTTGTACCAGTGCTCCCAGGGCAAGAGGCTGTTTGTTAACCCTGTTCACAACCCCCTGAGCACACAGGGCTGCCCCTGTTCTGCACAGAGTAGCTTTATGCTCAGGGAGCTGGTGAAGCTGGGACACACAGAAGGGCCTTTTCTGCTCCAAATACCAACAGTCTCAGCTCAAGGGGAAAAAAAATGTCTTGTCTCTTGGGCTGTGTCAATAGAGCCAGGCAGTTGGGAAGGGTCAGGGTGGAGGGGACGTGGTTGTCCTCAGCTCCCAGGCTCTGCTTGGGAAGCTACAGGAGGAAATCACAGCTGGAGGGACCAGAGGGGTTGCTGCAACAGCAGCACTGGCAGCTCCAGCCTTTTTCCCCTCCTCCTGGGTAGTCAACCCCAGTTGTGTCCCTCTGGGACTGCAGATCCCCTTTCCCTGGCCATGGAGAACTGTTCAATGGGTTGGGATCTGCCTGTGGCCTCCTGGCTCCCAGCTTGATTCACCTTCAAGACAAACTCATGATCTCCAGGCAGAGTTTTAACTGCCCATTTCTGCCCCATAAACTCTCCTGCTTTCTCAACCTCCAGCCCTGGGGGGGGCATTTCAGGGCCTTCTTGTCCCCCCAAAGCACAAAACCAGCAGAGCTGGTCCTTCTCCCTGGGTTTATCCCTGGATCTGAGTGCCAAGCAGGCCAGACCCAGCACCAAAAGCCTGGAGAACAAGGACCAACCTCTACTCTTTCCAACCCCCTCTTACTTGTTTGCCCAAGTTTTCCCCAAACAATTTCTGGAAATCAAACCCAGTTTGCTTTCCAGAGCTGATTTAAGGCTGTTTCCTGTCTGGAGCTTTCCATATATATAAACAACAATGAAGTTTATTTATTCAATGGCTTTTTGAGCCCAAGTTTCCCCAAAGCTGCTGGTGATTGTTGATTCTCAGTTGAAATGCCCCAAATGGGGCTGCACTTCCAGGGCACAGCAAGAGAACAAGCTCTGCCAGGGGATTATTTTATCCTACAGAGAAACCAATTTCTTTTAGGAGCCCAAATCCCCATTTTCTGGGGGTCTGGGAAGTTCAAAAAAGGCCCAGAGGTCCTTTCACCTGGTGACCCGTGAAGGTTCTATCACTACTGACAAGTCTCTTGCACCAGGGGCCAACACCAGCAATTCCTGGCTGCCACTTCTCCATCTGGGAATGGGGTGGGAAGGTGTTGCCCTCCCCTTTTTCCAAGCTCTTAGGGGTTGCTGCTGTTCCCTGTGCCAAGGAGCTTCACTGGGGCACTTCATTCCTTGGTGGTCACCCCAAGCTCGTTAGTTGATCCCTTCATTAAGGGCCATTCTTAGGCATGTGCCAGCAGGGAGGGTTTTGGGGTCATCAGAGGAGCAAGAAACATCTGGGAAGTAGTTCCAGGAGGGAATTCCAACTGTTTCCAAGTGGTTTGAGCCCAGGTTGGGCTTGGCTGCCACCCATCACCAGGCAGCCTGAGGGGTTCAACTCCTCCCTGAAACTGGGAGGGACAAGAAACTGCAGGTAACCCCCCCCCAGCCCAACTTGGGCTCCCCAAAAAACCTGACCCCTGAGCAGGATGGACACAGCAGTGTTGCCCAGAGCTCCTTCTGCTCTGGATTTCCCCCCACAGGTGGTTGAGCTTCAACCTCCAGGGCCTCTCCAGCTGATGCTTTGAAGCTCATGGAAGGGGATGGTTCTGGAGCTGGATTGCTGGGGTTTGTGCTGGTGGTTTCTTTGAATAAGCCCTTCTCCTCCTCCAGGAGCCCCCACCCAACCCCAACATGGTTTGAGAAGGTCCAGGTAATTTGTTGGTAGGAGAAACTAGAGGTGAAGGTCTTTCAGATCCTGAAGGACCCAGGAGGGTCAGAGCAGAGGGGGATCAGGATTCCCCCCCCCATTTCCTGCCACCCTCTTTTTCCTGTGCCTTCTTTCCTCTCTCCTGTTGTGCTTGAAGCCTCCTCATTTCAGAGAATCCCAGACTGGTTTGGGATGGAAAGGACCTGAAAGCTCATCCAGATCCAACCCCTGCACGGGCAGGGACACCTCCCACCAGCCCAGGCTGCTCCAAGCCCCATCCAACCTGCCCTTCAACACCCCCAGGGATGGGGCAGCCACAGCTTCCCTGGGCAACCTGGGCCAGGCTCTCACCACCCTCACACCCAAGAATTCCCTCCTCATGTCTAACTTAAAATCTCATGTCTCCTTAAATGTTCTTTTTTTTCCCCTCTTTCCAGCCCTTGGAAGCATTTTTGGGAACAGGGCAGGAAAAGGAGACAAAAAGAAAGGGATTTGGAGCTGCTGCTGCTTCTCAGCTCACAGAACAAACCAAAACCAAATAAGCAAGGTCCTGATGACTGGTTGAAGTTCCCTTCAACTTCCCACATGTCCCCCATCCCTCCTGGGTGCTGGGAAGAACCAGGAACCCCCTTCCCCAACCCGCCCTTGTCGGAGGGACCCTCGCCCTCCTCTCCCCATCACACCTGGGGTGCAGAAGCAGCTCCCACATGCTCCTCACCTGGAAGGCATGGCTGGCAAAGCCCAGCTCCAGCTGCCTACACACCACCATGGCCTCCACGGTGCTCCAGCCCTGGCTGCAGACAGTGCCCCAGCCCAGGGACCCGTTGCGTTCAGCCAGCACCTCCACCCGCCCCTCGAAGGGGCTGCGGCCGCCGCTCAGACGCAGCTGCAGAGAGAGGAGGAGGAGGTGAGAGAAAAGCATCCCCATGTCACCACCATCATCATAGTCCGGGTGTGAAGGGACCCTGAAGGCACCAAGAGTAGTGGGGGAGGTGCTGGTTTAGTTTTAATCAGTATAATAGGTGTTGTTTTCACTCTTGGCAAAGGTTTCCTGAATCAGACGCTCCAGGAGCATCAGGACTTCAAATGGGTTTGTTCCCCAAAAGCTCAGGGACTTCTGGAGGCAGGTAAGGCTAAGGAAGAGCCCCATGATTTACAAAAGAAGGGAGGCAAAGCTGGTGAGGGAGGGTCAATTGTCCCTGCTCCAGAGTGAAGCTGGACTAGCAGAAAGAAAACTTAATAAACCTGTGTGAACACAAGCCCAGGTCTGTGCTGAGGTCACAGAGAATCATTTGTCATAGGATCATGGGATGGTTTGGGTGGGATGGGAGCTGAAAGCTCATCCAGATCCAACCCCCTGCATGGGCAGGGACACCTCCCACCAGCCCAGGCAGCCCCAAGCCCCATCCAACCTGCCCTTCAACACCCCCAGGGATGGGGCAGCCACAGCTTCCCTGGGCAACCTGGGCCAGGCTCTCACCACCCTCACACCAAAGAATTCCCTCCTCATCTCCAACCTCCAGCTCCCTCTCCCAGTTTCCATCCATCCCCCCTCATCCCATCCCTCCCTGCCCTTGTCCCAAGCCCCTCCCCAGCTTTCCTGGAGCCCCTTCAGGCCTTGGAAGCTGCTCTAAGGTCTCCCTGGAGCCTTCTCTTCTCCAGGCTGAACAAGATAAGGGCCACAAGCTGATGAAGGCTTTGGAGCAAATATCTTCTGAGGAGTGGCTGGGGATGTTCAGGCTGGAGAAAAGGAGGCTGAGGGGAGACCTTCTCACTCTCTACAACAGGTTGTACAGAGATGGGGATCAGGTTGTTCAGTGAAGTTACAAGTGACAGGGCAAGAGGGAACGGGCTCAAGTTGTGCCAGGGGAGGTTTAGATGGGGTGTCAGGAAGAATTTCTGCATTGAAAGGCTGTCAGGGATTGGAACAGGCTGCCCAGGGCAGTGCTGGAGTCACCATCCCTGGAGGGAGTGAAGGGTTGTACAGACATTGAGCTCAGGGAGCTGGTTTGGTTAAGGACTGGTCAGTTAAGGACTGGTCAGTGTCAGGTTAACAGGCACTTCACTCCTTCAGAAGCCCCATCTTGCTGGGAGGAGCTCAAACCTCCAAGTGGGAGCATCATCCTTCTCTGCCCTCCTGCTTCATACAACACAGAGGGGAAAACCCCAAAGGGATGGTCCTGCCTTGGGTGAACTGATTCCAGCCCAGCCCCCCTGAGCTGCACAGCCAGGGAGGGCAGAGGGTGCTCTGGGATGATGAGACCTCCCCATGCCTGACCCCAGCTGGATCCCCCTTGACTTCCCACCTGGTTCTGGAAACCCATGGCTGGGACGTTGCATCTCACAGCAGCATCTTCCTCGTGGTTGCAGCCCTGGGACTCCGTGTTGAACTTGCAGTCTGTGACTGATTTCTCAAAGCCTGTGCAGTCAATTTCATTCAGGTGAATTGGACCCATTCCTGGAGAGGGGACAGAAGAAGAAGAAGAAGAAAACAAGAGGCTTTACCTTCTGCTCGTGCTACTGTGGGGAGAAAAACTACCCAATCACAGCATGTTCAGGGTTGGAAGGGACCCCCAGAGATCACCCAGTCCAACCCCCCTGCCAGAGCAGGACCCAAACCAGGGCGGGTCACTCAGAAAGGCACCCAGACAGGTCTGGAAAATCTCCAGAGGAGACTCCACAGCCTCTCTGGGCAGCCTGTCCAAGTCTCTGTCACCCTCACAGGACACAAGTTCTTCCTCATGTTGAGCTGGAACTTCCTGGGCTCCAGTTTGAATCCATTGACTCTCATCCTGCCCCAGGACAGAAGTGACAAGAGCTTGTCCTGCCTTCTTGGTGCCCTCATGGATTGAGAGACATTCATTAGATCCCCCCTCAGTCTTCTCCTCTCCAGACTGAACATCCCCAGGTCTCTCAGCCTTTCCTCATCAGGCAGATGTTCCAGTCCCTTCATCATCCTCATAGCCTCTGCTGGACTCTCTCCAGTGAATCCCTGTCCCTCTGGAACTGGGGAGCCCAGAACTGGACACAACACTCCAAGGCAGGTCTCACCAGAGCAGAGGGGGAGAAGAACCTCCCTCCACCTGCTGGACACACTCCTCTCAATGCACCCCAACATACCATTGGCCTTCTTGGCCACCTTGTTGTCCCATGGAGAACTTGTCCACCAGGACTCCAAGGTCCTTCTCCACAGAGCTGCTCTCCAGCAGATCCACCTCCTGGCCTGTCCTGGTGCAGGTGGTGGTTCCTTCCCAGGTGCAGCTTCTGGATGCCCTGCAAACATCCCTTTGGCACCTTCCCAACAGGCTCATCCTGAAGAAATGCCAGTGGTTTCTTGAAGAAGAGCACAAAACCTGCCAGATGATTGTTCTACATTCTTTCCAGTGGTTCCTGGGACTCAAACATGCAAGAACCACCAAAAAAACAAAGCCAAGTTTCCACTCTTGCATCATTTCCAAACTTCAGCTGGAGGGATCTGCAAGTGATGAGCTTTTGGCTGGGTCTGGTGCTGGGATCTGCTCCTGATGGAGCCCTGGTGGTTCCATGGGACAGGGACACGTTTGCTGGGACAACAAAACGCCCCCAGGGAGGTGTGAGAAGTCAGTGGAACTCTGGGGGCAGGTGTGTGTCCCAGACCCCAACCCCATGATCATTTCATCCTGCAGAGACTCAAGGTGCTGGGAGCCAAGTTCAAGCATTTGGTTCCTTCCAAGGACAAGTGGCAGCAGAAAATTGTCCTTCCCACCCAAGAGAAACAGCAAGAGGAGACACCTGAGAAGAATCACAGAATGCCAGGTTGGAAGGGACCTCAACTGGTCCAAGATTTCTGGGTGATGCTATGGTTGATAGGAGATGGCTCAGCACCATAATCCTGCCAAGGAAGCTCTCAGGTCCTGTTTCCAAAGCTGGTTAGAAAGAAATGTTACTGGAGGGGATGAATCAGAGGTTCCAGCAGATGATCTTCATCACAGCAGAACAACCAGAGTCTTTCTTGGAGCCCATCTAATCCATGAGTAATTCCTGATGGAATCACACCAGATGCTTTGACAGGAGATGCCTGCAAGCAGCAGATGGAGAACCTCTGGTGTCCAGCAGTTCCTAGGAAATCTGAGGTGCTGGAAGTGTTGAAGGGCAGGTTGGATGGGGCTTGGAGCAACCTGGGCTGGTGGGAGGTGTCCCTGCCCATGCAGGGGGTTGGATCTGGATGAGCTTTGAAGTCTCTCCCAACCCAAACCATCCCATGACTCTGTGAAACCCAGGGAGATGCAGCTCCAACGTGGACATCCAACAGCTCCCTGGTGCAGCAGGAGCTTTGGAGCTGAGTTGAGGCCAAAAAAGCAGCTCCTTTGTTTTTTTCCCCTCCCACAATGTGATGATCCAGCTGTTGAAAGGAGCTCCTTGCCATCCCAGAGGACAGCTTGGCCAGGGTGCACTGCTTCCTTGCCAGGCTTGGCCATGAAAAGGAAGACTCTGCTCCGAGTTCCCAGGCTGCAGGAGATGGACAGAACAGTGTGTTCTCCTCCTCACGTGGCAGATGCTCCCCCCCAACCCAAGATGATCCTGCTGTTTCTGAAAGGCAGTCAAACACATCAGCAGATCCCTGAAACCCACCACAACAGGGGTTTTTTTTGGCCAATCCAATGACCAGGTCATGTCTGAAAAGCTCTTCAGGCTGTGGACACCAGCACTGTTGTTATTCTCCTCCCTCTTCTCCAGGGGGTGATGGGTTGAAAACATGTCACCCTTTTATTTCTCTCATAAGAAAGGGTTTGAAGAAATGTCACCCCTTGATTCTGTCTCCCAGTCAAGGGTTTGGTGTCATTTTCTGGAGGGTTTCCACTAGGGGAGCAGGGAGGGAGAAGCAGAAGGTGGTTTGAGAGGCTTTGAGTTGCTCTTCACCACAGTTTGGGCTTTCAACCAGCTCCCAAATCCAGGAAATCCAAACCCAAACCTGGCTCTGAGCTGTGCAAATGCCCTTCTATTTATCATGGGCTAAATTCATGTTCTGGTCTTAAACTGGAGAATGTTTGAAGTCAAGATCCAGGACCCATTTTTGCCAGGAACCTTCTAGTAACTCATTACAGCCTCACGTGGATCTAAAGAACTTGTCGAGAGAATCTGAGGGCAGTGGATGTGATAATGAAGAAGTAATTACTAGAACAACTGTCTGAGGGAAAGGTCAAACTCATCATCACCACATTTCACTGAAGAAACCTCCCAATTCTGGTTTTTTAAGTCACCTCTTCCAGTTTGACCTTGAGCTCCTGCGCTCGAGAGGCTTCGTTAAGGGTAGAGCATCAATTCCTGCTCCTCAAAAACAAACCTCCTGGGGAAAACACATTCAGGTCTGAAACATGGAAGGGTTCTTGGAGGTGGCCAATGGTCTTGAGAGCTTTCCCTGCTCTTACCTTGCCCAAGCCTTGCTCCTGTGATGGCCTCCTTGGCGCTGCCAAAGCCCAGCTCCCTGCACACCACGCTGGCTGACACCAGGTTCCAGTTGTCATCACAAACTGTCCCCCACTCCCCATTTTTCAGCACTTCAACTCGTCCTTCCCCAGTGTTGGCTCCTCCTTTCAGCCTCACCAGTGGTTGCTGGAAGACACAGAGAGGGGTGGTGACACCTCAGCCTAGGGATGAAGCTTCTCTTCCTTGCCAGCCCTTGGGGGCCAAAAAGTGTCACCCTGAGGCACCTGGAAACAACCAGAGAAAAGGCTGAAAGTGCTGGATGGAAGGAGACCTTGATCTGCTAAGAAGGGGGATGGATTGAAGCTGGGAGAGGGAGATGGAGGTTGGAGCTGAGGAGGGAATTCTTTGGTGTGAGGGTGGTGAGAGCCTGGCCCAGGTTGCCCAGGGAAGCTGTGGCTGCCCCATCCCTGGGGGTGTTGAAGGGCAGGTTGGATGGGGCTTGGAGCAGCCTGGGCTGCTGGGAGGTGTCCCTGCCCATGCAGGGGGTTGGATCTGGATGAGCTTTCAGGTCCCTTCCAACCCCAACTAGTCTGTGATTCTATGCCAGACCCTCTAACCCAGCACTAATGGACCCCAGACCCTGCAATGACCCCTCTGTCCTCAGGCTGCACATCCCTTCCAGCTGGCAAAGCCCCCTCAGCCCCATTTGCTGCAGGTTCAGCTGCCCCTCTGACCCTGGGAACTCACCCTGGGGTCATTTCAGACCAACCTTTTGCAGACCTTTGCATTCTTCCCCTCCACTCAGCCCTCTCTCCTTGCCAGACTCAACAAACCCAGCTCTCCCAACCTTTCCAGTCTTTTCCCAGTCTCTCAAGGGCATTTCTTTGCAGAGGACACAGGAGCAGAGGAAATACCAGTTTGTTTCCCTTGTACCTGGACTGGGAAAGACAACCCAGCAGCACTGAAGTGAGACAGTAAAACCCAGCAGCAACTGGGCACTGGTTCAACTGGCTTGAACAGCTCCACCAGAAACCTGACACATGGATTCTCTTACTACTGGTCCCAGCTGCAGCAGTGAGCTGGTCTCCCACCCTTCTGAGCCTGGAGACAGAGGGAAAGCACCAGGAAGTTGAGGACAAACTGAACTGGGCTTGTAGAAATCAAGTGTAGAGTTGGTTTGGCATCCTAAGATTAGAGGCTCAGTGTTGGGTTTTAGTGCTGTTCTCACATCCTAGTGTTAGAAACATCTTGTTGGGGGCTTTTTTATATACCCCAGTGGTAGGAATGTAATAGTTTAAGAGAGAAGTGAGATATCTGCACATTCCAGTAACACCTGGGGTGGGTTAGGGTCCAAGAAACTGAATTGGGCTCCATCTGGGGGATCCCACCAGGGAGCAGGATGGATGGCCAAGGTCAGACCCAACAAAGCCACTTCTACCCTGCTCCTGGGAGCAGGATGACACCAGCAGGCACAGATCATTTTGGTAACTGGGAAGATGGGCAAGAAAGGTCAGAATTAAACCTTAAAAGGTAAAAAGGACCCTGGTAGAATGGAATGTGTGAGAAGGGGTGGGAAACTTATAGGATCATTAGAAGCGTCGGATGGGCTGCAAAGCCTGGAGGACCCAGCCAAGGGGGGAAACAGGGGAACTCTGCATGGGGAACAGGGAATATAAACAGTTATTCACCTTCCTACGGGTGTGCCTGCTTGTTTAGGTCACCCATTCTTGCAAGAGTGTAAACAACCTGCTTCACTGAAGGCTCAGGTTGAGCCCGTTCGTTGGTGCGACTGACGCTCCTCGCGCCGGGAGGAAGGAGCACAAAGAGAGGTCACACCTTGACGCCCCTACTTGCCAAGGAGGCAATTTTCTCCCTGCTCACCTCCTGCCTGAAGGCTTTTCGGAAGCCAGTGTGGCTGCTGGGGGCAAAGGCACGGCCAGGGACACAGCTGACCACGGCTGGCATCCCGCTGGCACACGTGGAGTTCTTCCCCGCGTCCACGTGCAGGTGGTTGCCCAGTTTGCAGCTGGAGATGTGAGCTTCATTCCCACTGCAGTCCATGGAGTAAGGCCAGTAGTGCTGCTTCCTTCTGCTGGCAAACATCCTGGGAGGGGGAAGAGAGCAGGGAAAATAAGGGAGAAGAGACCGGTGAGGAATTGGAATTGAGGGAGGTGGAGGTTGGAGCTGAGGAGGGAATTCTTGGGTGTGAGGGTGGTGAGAGCCTGGCCCAGGTTGCCCAGGGAAGCTGTGGCTGCCCCATCCCTGGGGGTGTTGAAGGGCAGGTTGGATGGGGCTTGGAGCAGCCTGGGCTGGTGGGAGGTGTCCCTGCCCATGCAGGGGGTTGGATCTGGATGAGCTTTCAGCTCCCATCCCATCCAAACCATCCCCATGGTTGTGATTTTCCAGTTCAAGAGCTCTTTGGCTGGGATGAAGCTCCAGGCCCTTTCTGCAGAGGTGGAGAGAACTGTTCCCCCTTGGCTTTCAGGAGCAGCTTCCTCATCATTCCTGGCTAAAGTCAGCAAGGCCCATCTCTGAGAACAAAATGAAGACAACACAGCCCCACCCTCTGACCCATGCACAGCAAAGTCTGATCTCAATTCAGACTCATCAAACCCCACACTCTAAACCCTTAGAAAATAGGAAAACCTGCATTTCTGGAAAAAAAAAGACCTCAAGCTGCTTTGGGAAAGCCCTTTGGCCAGTGACCTCCATGTCCTGGTGCTCACCTGGCTTGCTCCAGTTTCATCTTCAAAGAAATGGCTGGATCAAAACTTGCCCAAGCCCAGACTAGGCTGGAGTTGGCAATTAGCTAATGATTAATCAGCACCTGATGGCAAATGGATGATCCAGTTGGCAATGGGGGCTTTGTTTGCTGTTGTTCCTAAGGTCTGTTCATCAAGGCAGTTCAGCAGCAGCTTCACTGCTTCCAGGATTCAACAGGATTCCCAGGGAAGCTGTGGCTGCCCCATCCCTGGGGGTGTTGAAGGGCAGGTTGGATGGGGCTTGGAGCAACCTGGGCTGGTGGGAGGTGTCCCTGCCCATGCAGGGGGTTGGATCTGGATGAGCTTTCAGGTCCCTTCCCACCCAACCCATCCCATGAGTCTATGAATCCAGTGATGTGGCTTCATTTGGGATAAAACCAGCCTTGGTTGACCAAGATCATTCAGACCCTGATCTATTCAAACACACAAGGACTCTGTTGAGGTGTCACTTGGGAGTCAAAAAGTCACCTGCTGGAGCTACAGAGCAGGGAATGAATCAACATCAGCAGAACAACAACGAAGCACAGAAGAGAGAAAGGTCATTCTAAGAAATTCTAGGGCTCAGAGATCACTTCACCCAAAAGGCAGGGCCCAAACAGGGTCTGTGCAAACACCCCCAAGTGAGCTGGGATTGGGGAAGCCCCCAGAAGACCTCTCCTTGCTGGCCATCACCTGAGCATCCCTGAGGAGATGGCAGGGCTGGGATAAACCCAGGCCTCTCCAGCTCCTCTCAGTGCTGCAGTGGTAACAGCCTGAGCCTGGAAGCAATTTCTGAGAGCAGGAGCAGCCCCCTTGAGATGTTCACAGCAGAGGATTTTGGCAGCAGCTTCTGCTTCTTGCTCCCAAACTCCAGTGTTTGCCAGGAGCTGCTCCAGGGATTCCTAAAGGGGAAGGGGCACGTGTGATGAAGGAGAAGAGAAAAGCATCCAGCTCCAGCCCAGCTGCACTGGGAGGCTGCTCAGATGGAGCTAAAAGAGTCAGAGGGAAGAGAAACATGGGCCAGATCTTGAGCAAAAGGGCAACGTGAGGAGTGACAAAGAAAAAGTCAAGGCCCAGAGGAGCCCAAACCCTGCTGGGATCCTGCTGGGGCTTGGTGAGGTCCCTCTGCTGCTCCTCAACCCAGGAGCAGGAGCTGCCACGGAGCTCCAGGCATCCAGGATCAGTGAGGAGGGTGGGATTTGTTGGGAGAAGAGGAACCAATTCTGGTTAAATGCAAGGCAGGGCCTGGGCAGGATCTGGGGAAGGAGCTGAGAGCCTTTTGTTGGCTGTTGGGTTGAAACTAAGTGGACAGGCCCAAGGTTTCCTCATCCTTTGGTGGTGCCACGAGGGCTAATCTGCACCATCTCTGCTTGAGGGGTCTGTCTTTGGGGTGGGGGGAAGGATTTTCTACCCCTTTTACTTGATGAGCTTTGCTGCCAAGCTCAGCAGGTGTCCAGGTTCATGTGGTTCCCCTTCTGGAAGCAAACAGCTCTGGCTTGAGGGTGGAGGCAGGAGACAGATGCAATTGCACCCTGGGCTGGGGAGTCAAGGCAAGGGAGGAGGATGGGGCAGGAAGGGACAAGTTGGGGGTAAAACACTGCCTGGCAAACTCCAAGCCTGCCAAAGCAGAGCAATAAGAGACCCTGAACCCATGGAAAAAGAAGGGAAATACAAATTAAAACATAAAGAATGAAAAGTAGAAGCAGGGGGGGCTGCAGGCAGGAAGTGCCAGACACTTCCCAGCTAGAACTTCTGGTTCAATTTGGACCAAACGTGGTTCTTTTAATTAAAAAAACTCCTCAGGATGCTACACAGCTCCCAGAAAGCCATGAAAGCCTCTGCCCTGAGCTCAGCACCAAGGTCCCACCTGAACTTTGCCTGCCCTCTTGGACTTTCAGGGTGTTGGGAGACACACTGGGAAGCACCTGGAGGCACCTCCACCTCTCCAGGAACCACTCAGCTCTGCTCCACCAGCCCTGTCTGTTGTGTTTGGGATGGAGGGAGAACCTGGAGGGGTATTTTTCACTCAGGGGGCCTCCTCAGATGTGTGTGAAGAGCTTCTGAAAGCCCAGAGCAGACAAGAAACAGCCTCTTTGAGAGAGGAGTCCTGATGGGGATGCCTTAGAATAGCAAACAATGACCTCATCCTGGAAATTTCATGAGGCATTCACATCTGGTTGGGATTAACAGCTCATGGTAGGGCTGGGGAGAAACAGCCAGAGAAAGTCCCACCTCCTTTCCCCAGCCCAAATATATAGAAGG